CCCCTTGCCCACCCCAATCAAAATCCCGGCCCAGCCCTCCCACCAAGAAGAGGGCGGCACAATCCCCGGCCCCAAGCCTGCAGCGGGCAGCCTGCCCTCACCCTGTTCACAAATCTGAAGGGCACATGCCCTACATGCCTCCCCCAGGGGTGCACGCAGTGGAGGGAAGCTGCCCCCCTTTCCCCATCCTCCCACACCCCCTGGATGAGCCGCCCACAGTTCCATCCCGTGTCCCGCCTGGGCAGCACCTACCCCTGCCTCAGCCCCATTCCCTACCTCACCATGCGGACCTAGGTCTACTCTCCATGCACCTTCCCTCTCCCATGCCCTTTCTCCCCCACAGACTTACCAGCCCAACGCTGTTCTCCAAGCTGCTGGGCTGCATTCCTGGCTGTGTGCCTGCTGCAGATGCATGCATGCACATGATCAGCGACATTATCAGCTACACTGGCCAAAAAAGCCGAATGTCAATGTCAACTTTCCTTTTATTGGTGACGATTCGATATGGACTGATGTATCAGTGCACCTCTAGTTCCTACAGTTATCCCCCCCCTTGTAAGGCTCATAGCCTATAGGGCAACATTAGCACTGGATGAGCACAGCCCAAGGCCAAGACATCAAACCACAGCTCAAAAGATGATTATATCTGGTATCCCAGTATTTTGCTAGTATGACCCTTGTGCAGAAGGGTGGCACTTTAGAGACTTTTAAGTGGCTACCACCTACTTCATCAGATGCACTTTACAAAGTAGATGGTTGCTTATAAAAGGTCATGAATCTCTGAACCAGCTAATCTCTAAGGTACTACCCCTGTCCTGCCTTCTGCCTGACTTCAGATTCACATGGCTAAACACCTCTCTAGACTCCCCATGGTCAAAGAGTGGGGCACACTTTCTAGGGCAATATCCATGGCAGTGCTCTAAGTCTTGAATATACTCTGATATCAGTGAGGAAGAAAAAAAAAAAGTACATGTGTTAGATTCAGTCTTCTGCAGTACAAGTCTGCTCATGCCATGAATATGGGCAATGGTACTTGGTTCCCTTGATGCCCAAGAGCAGGGCAAGGTCATTATCTCCTTCTATATCTGCAACAATGAACTACGCAGTGCAATGACTAGTGGTAAATAGTTCAGTGCTATACTTGTCTCTCTAGTAATCAGTACCATTGAGCCAGAGACCAATGGAGCTGGGCCAGAGAGGAAGCCGAAGTCTAAGAGTTGTTGTTAGCATCAGTTCTTCACTCAACATTTTGAAACTGAGCGAGAACACTGAAATGTGCTTGAGCTTAATCAAGAACTCCTGTGTACCAAAACCCCATTTACAGGGCCAGAAAGAAGTGGAAATCTCCTGGAGGTACTTGTTGGGAGGCAAAAATCTGCCCCTTGAGCTCCCCTTACCCACAAACACCATTTTCTTGTTCAAGTTCAATGCTAAAGATTTAAAATATAGGGAGCCCACACTACTGCACTTTGGTTCTCCCAGATCAGAGGCATGCCCATTCCATTTTCTCAAGGGATGCATCTTCGAGCCTTGCCTCCTCCTGTCAGTTCAGGAAATGAAAAACTTACAGATAATGAATGTTCTTGAGACATGAGATTCTTCCATGTAGCAGAGACAGTTAGGTCAGACCAAAAAAAGCAGGCAAGCACCTAAGTACCCATTTGGATCTGACCCAACATTTGCAGTAGAGCAATACTGAGGAAACCTATTCTGGGTCAAATATTTTTTTTTTATTCCCAGTAAGCAATAGGGAAAACTAACTCTACTGATTAAAAGTCAAAAGAAGTTAAGACTGCAGTAAGCGGAGACCAAGAAGCTTGGTCTCAAGCAGTGAAGTGGCTGATAACTTTCTTCCCTTTATGCCCTTAGTAACCCCAAGAAGCAGGAGGGTGCATGTGTCCTGAACAGGTACTTCTAGCCAAATACATCTCCATGTTCAAAGACAAGAGGTGCACACACATCTGGAGACAAACATAGGAAAATTCCTAAATTACCATACCATAGCAAGGTACACTGCATCTTCACCACCTGATTAACAGCAATATTCTGCATTAGATGATTAAGGAATCAGAATTAAGGTAAGATTTCCCATAAAGCAGGCACTACCACTAATAAAGGTATACCTTGAAAAGTTACAGAACCTTGCATTAAATCCTAAATTTGAGACTCTGGGAATATAATCCCTTTAGAATATAATTCTAAAGCAGTGCTCATACAAAAGAAATTAGGAGATAGATCTCCCATTAACCATTTGATAATTTCTTATCACTGTTGCCTGCAGACGCTCACAGCTCTTTGCAGCCTAATGCACATACGGGATAAGTTTGTTACAAATAGGAGCACTGTGACAGGAGTATCACTACCGGAGCCTTTCTAGGGGTGACTCCACCCTCCTGTTATTGGCCAACCGTCTGCTTACTCACCTGCCATGCCTTGAACTTAATTGGTTAATTGATTGATGCAATTAGCAGGAGGCTGCCCACTTTATGTGCCCCGGTGCCAGGGGGCACTACCTGCGGCTCCTTTTCCTCCCCTACACCGCAACCCAAGCCTCGCAGTTGGTACTGACGTGGTTTTTGGCCTGGGCCCTGTTGCGACTTGGCCCTCTCCTTTACCCCCTTGCTCCGGGGCTGGGGTCAATGCACCACAAAATGCTGCACCCTCTCTGGCGCCAAGGTCCCCACACTCCCATGGAGCCCCTATGAGGCCTTCTCCAACCCCTAATAGCCTCACCTGGTCTTCCAGTGTAACAACAACAACAAACAATAACACAAGCCCCCGGGCTATAACATAAAAAGCTAAACCGTCCAGTCAGGACATCATTCAATCCCTACCGGGAAATACTCCAACCCACAGCAGCAACCAGGAGATGCTCATGCAGTCGGGCTTCTCCCCTCTCTCTGCACTGGCCGAGCCCCCCCCTTCCTTGGCTGCCAGAGGGAACTGCCCTCCTGGCCTCCTGCCTGGGCTTATATAGGCCAGGCCCTGCCCCTTCCTGTCAGCTGGCCCCCGCAGCAGTTGTCCCGGCAACCAGCACCTGTTGCTCTGGCTGCCCTGGTAACTGGCAGCTGGGCCTCCCTCTTCTGGCCACTAGGGGTCTCTCCCAAGCTGCTTTATCTGTTCTCAGGCACAGGGCACCTGAGTGCTCTGCGACAAGCACCAACACAGTTTATGCAACTTGTCCAAAGGCACAGAGCAAGTCAGTGTCAAAACCAGAAACAGAACCCTGGAGAAGCCCCATGCTCCAATTCCAGTGGAAGTACTAAAGCTGATTTCCTCCTGAAGGACCAGAGTACACATAGATGCAATTGACAATAGATATCAACTTGCCTGAACTGGTCTATTCCCAAGGAAGTTTAAATCCATGTTCTCCCCAAAGAGGTAACCCTCAGGATGTGGGGTGTCAAACTTCTCGCCTCCCATGAAAAAGTGACTTGCAAAGTAGTTTCCTAGAAAAACAAGAAGTAAACAAATTCAAATGAGTGACTCCTGAAAAGCAATAACAATCTTCAGCTTTTATTTAGTGTATTCAGGGGAGGCCCATGACATAAACCAGGCTGTGCGTTAAAGTACAGCTCTTACTTGCAATGCAGCATTAGACAATTCCTGACAACACTGGTGTCATGTGGTGTCAATGCCGACAGCAGTGAGCAGAAGCAGCAAGAAGAAACTTGGCCAAACCATTACAGTACTGTTAGAGGAGTGAGCCAAACAACTTCACTGCATTGCCTACATACATTTACCTGCAGCTTGGAGCCCTATAAAGAACCCCTATATGGAGTGAATGCCTTTGAAAGGTTATGAAGGCATTAATCACGCAGAACTCTCAATCCATCTGGAAAGCCATAACTATGATTTATTCTGAAAACAAGAGGGTTTTTATAAGAGGTTTCCGCTTTTTCAATTTTTTTTCTTTTTGCTTCAAGAAAGATCTGTCCTATCCTGCATAGATGGTGCCATTTTAATGACGGACTCCCACAGACTGAGCTCTGCTAACAAGCTCATAGGCCTCCAGATGTTTGTATTTTAGAAATATGTCCTTCTCCCCAGAGATCCTTTGCTTTTTTGTGGCCTTGTGACAAGGTACTTAGCAGAATTTGAAGATTCACTTGAATCTGGCAGGCCTTGAATTTGCAACCTCTGAGCTGTCAACCATGCACCTTAGTACCCATGCCATCCCAGTCCTGTCCCCAAAATAATCAAACTCAGGTGGGGTCCAAAATCTAGCTGGTACCAGGTCTACAACATCAGCATGGTAATGCTAAGGTGTCCTAAACAGCAATCCCTTTCCCTGCACCCCAAGCACTTAAGAGTAAAATGAAGAGCCATTCTGAATGTAGAACCCCAGTTAGACTTTCTGATGGATAAAACCAATCAGCTTGGGGTGCATTGTGACATGTATGTTTATGCCAAACTCCATAATAGCTTGGAGCACAAAGAGATTAATTTCACATTTTATATAGGTCAAGCAGAATTGCTCTGGAGCATTTTAACTGTTTAACTGCAAAAAAATTTCCTATGCAGGAAATCTCAGAATTGCAGTGGCTGATTATCCTGACTCAAAGTCAGATGGCTGACTCTTGATTATAATTTGGTATTCTATGAATGAGACATGTTTAGGGGTCATAATCTCTTCTTAGGGAGTCTGCATTTATATGCAGTTCACATTAACATTACTGTGCACATAAATCTGTTCTGTGTTCACAAAAGACTACCTTTTGATATCACCTCTATGGTGCTTTTAACCCCACAAATTCCTAAGTGCTTTATCCAGATTGTGGACCAAACCTGCACACTACTTACTAAGTAAAAGTACAGACATAACATCTGTATTGTTATCAAAGGATACCGGTTAGGGTGCATCACTTACAGCTACACAATTTTGCAGAGATACAACTATAGCAAAACAGTTCTAATTTTAACCCTGCTTCATGCCAAAACTCAAGCCAATTTAGCTACCTTCTATTCCTACAGACTCACACTGATAAAATGGTTAAATGGTAACAGCTGTTGTGTGCTTCCTTTCTTAATGCAGTTAAAATGTATGCTTGTCCATACCCTCAGATTTGCAGGAGCAAGTTTATACAGTTGGAATCTCTTCACAACATTTTCTGGGTTAGAAATGGCAGCTACTTAAGAGAGCAAATAAAGGCTCCACTTTGCAAGAGGTTCAGAATGGGAAGGAGCCAAAATATCATATCCAGCTGGAATAGCAGAGGTAATTAAAAGGACTGGAATAGAGGTATCCAACTGTAATTTGGCCAGGAAATCGTAACTAATATTCACACTCTTCTGCTATTAGGATGTTTAACAATGACAAACAATAGAGCCCTTAAGTTTTGGTTTTCATCAAGAACATGGCCCATCCAGAAACTCAGCACCACCTAACCATCAGGTACAGCGCTGATTTAGTGCACAGCTAGAAGACTCTTCTTCCACCGTGCCTATTACATCACTTCCTGTAACGCTCCTGAGATCTCTGAATCACAGGATTCAGAGACCAGGCCTCACACCTCACTTCGTTTGTGAAACGTGACAAAAAACACCAAAAAAAACAACAAAAAACAAAGCCTCTCTCAGAGGAATTTTGGAAGATAAGTTATTAATGACATCTGTAAGGCACTGAAATAGCACGGTAATGCAGAAACATCTATAAATAAACCTTACTGTACTGACAGTATATTGACTGTCTATTGTATCTCATATTAGGGAGGAAATCCAAGACAGAATATGAATTTCTGCTCTGAAAAACAGCCTCTCCATCCTAAAAATCTAAGACTCAAGATGGAGCCAGAGACAAAAGTCACCATTGCAAGCCCAAACACTATTTCCTACCCTCCTCCTGCAGGGCATCTGTTAGACGAATGCATTCACACTGGTGCATAAAGTGCTCATTAACTTTCCAAGCTAGAAACCTGGTGCAGTGCAAGTCCTAGAGAGCGCAAGGCAAATGTTTTCAAGGAGCTAAGCAGGAGACATGATAAAGAGCAAGACAGCTTCTGCAGCCCTTAGGGGTACTAACAAAAATCTGTGGAATACACTAAGTCAGTCCTGGATCGTTACTTAATAAGTCAAAAAATGGCAGTGACTTATGGTGACAGATTGATAATAGTCAGAAATACCCACGAAGAGATGTTCTACAGCAAATTTTAGAGAATCACTACAGCAGACAGAAGCTAAACTCACAAAATTACAACCAGTGTTCTATGCTGATCCTTTCAATACGGTCACCACCGACCCAATATACAGACAGACAGAATTATTTAAAATGTCCTTACCTATCTAACTAGCATCTAGGACTATAACAACACAGGACATTTAAAACAGCAAAACCAAATAGGTTCTCCCTACATGTGCTGTTTCTTTAAATCAGGGGTAGGCAATGCTTTTTAGCCAGAGTGCTGAAAAAAACATAATGTCTACCTTGGAAGGTGCCGGACTGCCAGCATGGCAGAAAAACAAAACAAGGGCAGGTGGTACATGGCAGGATGTACTGCATATTAGTATAGTTAATCATCATAAATGTTGCCCCCCACCCCCCATTTTTTGTTTGTTTTTGGGTTTGTTTGTTTTTACAGTAAATACCAGACTTTCTAAATATTGTAAACCTGGTGACAATAAATAAAACTTCTGATACTCCCTTTGACCTTGTGTATTTGTTTTGTGCAGGTCCCACACAAGAGACCCCCAGCCCTGCTCCTGCCCCTTAGCTCCCACCCAAAGCCCATGCCCCCCCAGCCCAGGCTCAGTGGCTATCAGCAGCTACCCGGAACTTGGGCCAGCTGCAGCTGGGAGGCTGCAAACAGGTGCTGCCTCCCTGCCTGGGGTTCCGGAAGGCAGCAGATGCTGGCACCACACCCAACCAGAGCCAGGAGGCAGCAGCTGTTTGCAGCCTCCCAGCTGCAGCCGGCCCAGGCTTTGGGGCAGCTGCTGCCAGCCACGGTGCCTGGGCTGCTTGCAGCAGGGCTTGCAGCCTCCCAGCCACCTGCTGGGAGCAGCCCAGGCCCACGGCTGGCAGCAGCTACCTGGAGCCAGGGATGGTGGTGGCATGCTGAGGAAAATGGCCTTGCATGCCATGCTCGGCACACGTGCCGGGGGTTGCTGACTGCTGGTTTAAATGTTTCCTCTGGGCACTACAAAATTTGGTTAGTTTCTCTTTACAGCAGCCATATATTTAGGTGATGGGATTCTAACACTGTTATAAAAGGTACACATGGAAAAAAAATGTACGTTCATGAAACTGTGCTGTATCTCATCTTTTTGAGCTTGATTTAAAATAATTAAAAAAAAAAGTAAACTAAAGACTAGAGGTACACCAATACATCTGTCCCATATCAGATCAGCACCAATATGAGGAAAACAGAGTATCAGCAATCGGCTTTTTTTGTCTCATGTGGCCGATAAATGTATGCACACAGCTGCAGCCCAGCAGAGTGGAGAGCAGCTGGGTCCAACTGGTAAGTCTTTTGTGGTGGAAGGGGCAGCGGGGCGAGAAGGAACATGGTGGGGGGGCAGACTGAGGCCTCTGTGGTGAGGGAGGGAGTGGGAATGGGGCTAGAGCAGGGGAAG